GAGAGAGAGGATTGAGGGGTGAGGTTAGAAGGAAAACCCGACTCGAGGAAAGAAAAAACGCCTTCAATTGAGAATGATACTGTGCATCACACGGAAGCTTGAATAGTTGTATCATTCCATTATTTATGATATTTTCATGTTTGAAGTCCGATTTAAGGAAAGGAAGAGAGGCAGTGGAGGGAAGACGAGGGGGAAAGGGAAATTCGAATACAATCAATGATTTTTCTTCTTCCTCATAGTGTTTTTCTTTTCTTTTGCAAGGATTTTTCAAGGTTTTTAGTTTTTAAAATAACATTTATTTTTTAAGGATTTGATGAATCAATGAAAATACTGTACAATGCATAAAATTACTTGTCCAAAACTACTTGTTAACCTTTCCATTATAAGCTTCAAAAAGTGCATACAATTGATAGACTGATCATTAGTGAAAAAGAACTGTCATTTTGAATTTAATTAATCACGCATAGAATTAAGACGGAAAAATCTGACGCAAATTTTAGGTGCTAAATTATCTGAGAAAAAACATAGTAAAAAAACAGAACCAACAGGAGGACTACTTTAGTATAAAAAATTCTTCACCTAAATGCAAGGGCCTTTTTCTTTTCGCTAGCTGAGTTATTTAGGTTTGTGTTACTTTCTCGTAACTTGAATTTGAATCAACCTGATTAAAATCCAATCTTCTTTAAAGAGAGTGCATTCAGAAAGAAAAAAGTTCGCATTCAGAGCTCTCCAAAACTATCATTTTCTCATTGAAAACCTCAAAGAGGCGTGGAATCAGAACCTTAAGAATTCCCACTAATTAATGAGGGTTGCTAATGAAGACGGTAGGCTCTAATTAATCGTCAGCATGGCGGTGGAACTGATGACAAACAGCTGGGAAGGAATCTAGGGACACAGCATTTATGAAATTAATTCGTAGTTTTGAACTAACATCCCTCGACAACAGTGTTAGTGCACTGTTTGTAAATGTTTCTTTAGAAAGTAATGACAATGACGGTAGCGAGAAACATGACTTAGAGAGATGGAGACGCTCCATGTTGCCACGAGTGAAACTTGAATGACATACTAAGTAGCTTTACAAATTACGAAATGGAACGCACATCATATCCAACTTCAAAGTTAGCAGGAAATCGTAAAAAAAAGTTAAAATCATGAGCACGCAAACTTAAGTGCGTGAAATTTTGAACCCATGCAATTCCGTTCGTAAACCCAACCCCTCAATCTTTATTTACAGCGTCTATTCGGTTCAAAAGTTAAATGGAGTGGATTCATGCAGGCTAGCATTTAGGTCATGGTAGGGTAATATACGTGTAAAATTAACATCATCTTTATAAGTTGCGAATCATTCTTGCCAAAAAATTGAATTTTCGTGTATGCTGGGTTCATTCAAGCGTTACTTAAGTTATTGAAGTAGGAGTAGTTATGAACTTGCCTTATAGAGTCCTAAAAAGGCGGGAGGAGGCATTAGGCTCAGTATTACTTAGACCTCTCGCTGTAATAACAAAGTGATATTTCTCATTAAAATTACTTTTTTGTATCAATTATTCTGTTTGTCTCTCTTATTTTATAAAAACACGGTGAAGGTGTCGAACCAATAATTCAAACCGTAATTTAAGATGAAGGCGAGGGATTGGTTTACAGTTGCCTGAAAAGATAAGGGGAGTCAAAAAATTAGGCAAAAATCCTAACGCCACACTTAGACATTTTCTCACAAGGAGTATTTCATTTCTTTCTGGTAAGATTAATTGGACTACATTTTGCAATTTGGAACCATAATTTCTAGTCTGGTTCAAAAACGACGTTTGTGCCATTAGTTTCCCTATGCACATAAGTGTTTTTCCAGAAGAGCCAGAATTTAAAGTTTCAAATTGCAAAATACAGTCCAATTGCTTTATCACATTGAGTAAAGTTGAAGGATTAATTCAGTCCACTTTTGATCTGTTTTAAGGGGTGTTTAATCTCAGACGATTTTAAAAGCTAGACCGAACTTATTGCCTTTGGACGGATTCTTTGTTCATTGATTATTTTTTTATAATCAGAAATCCTTCGCTGTTACTGCTCTCAACACGACAATTTCCAGAATAGCGATTTGTTTTTACGCTAGTAAAGGCTCAAAATATTTTCCCTCGAGTAATGGAAAAAACTGCACGTTTTGCGAGGGTTTCGCAGTTATGAAGCAGGTATTTCGCGAAACTTGGCTGTCTTCATAAATTGTTAACTTTGAGACCTGGAGTCGAAAGTTGGCCAACGGTTTTGGGGTGAAACGTGCACGAAGCAGAATGATCGCGCGAGGCAAATGAACCACATCATCAGTTTGAGCGTAAGCCCTCTTTGCAGCTCTTAGCGACTCGCGGCGCTTCTCGAAGAGACTCCTCCATTTTACGTCGCGGGAATTAGGGGCGGCAACCTCGTGGAAGAGTTTGACAACTTCTTAGAACTCAAGCGTCTTTTGATAAGTCTTCCGCTGTGTGCGAGTCAAGCTCTGATGAGAGCTTTCATTAATCAGGCAAACGTGATAAGAAAATGCAATCCCCT